AAGCATACATACATATATATGTATACATAAAATACATATGTGTGTACATAGGTATGTGCATTTTTGAGTTGATATAAATTGTCGCTTTAATGCAACGCTTTATATGCAAATGTGCCACATATTGACTACCACATTTTAATGCCACTTCGCGCTGCTGTGGCAATATTTTTTTTCTTTGTTTATTGTATAACATTATTAAGCACAAAATAATAAAAAAAAGATTAAAGTCAATAAATCTCTCAAGAAATCGCGTTTTTAAAGTAAATGACATTAAAAAAAATAAAAAAGTTAAATAAATGTTTCAGTGTGTATTAGTATGCAATTTAAAAGAAATCGAAAACAAGCTTGCCGTGCTAATTATATTGCTTGTATATTTTATAGTTTATATTGAATATTAAAACGTACATATTATAGTTGTAGCGACAATTTTAGACATTTCTAAAGCGCAACAAATTTTATGAATGCAAATTAAAAATTATTAATAAATTTTTTTTTTAGGCAACTAACTAGAAGTTAGATGCGAGTTCGATTCGCTTTTGTTTTTTTTTTGCTGCTCTCGCTTACAGTATATTTTTGTTCAGGTTGGGAGAAAATTAAATTCATTCTCAAATATATTCTGACAACTTTATGTACCAGTATATGATAATTGTTTATTAAGTAGATGAATTGAGAATGACTAAAATGAAAGTTAAAATATATAGATTAATATATACATATATACATATCTACATATACACATTTATACACTTAGATCGACGTAAAATTTTAAGTTTTTTCTGCTTTTAATATATTATATATTTCTTTTCTATTTCCTTCGTTTTGTGTCATTTTTATTTATTTTTGTTTCGTTGCAACGCGTAGGTGTAGAACTCATTTGCATTTCAAATTCGAAGCACATAGCAATTGAAGAAATATTTCAATACAAATTAAAATTAAAAAAAAAAACAAGAAAATTGAAGGATATTGAATGAAAGAAAATAACTATAACGAACGTTTTTTAAAACTTTGGACACAGGTCGAGCTTAAAGCGTTTAAGTTGCTGCTACTTCAGTATTCACCTTGCTGCTGTTACATTTAAGTTAAAATGGGGCTTTCAAAAACCGCTTAACACACTATTTATTGGCTGCAAGCAAATGTCAAAAATGATTGTAAAATACAAAAAACTCACCGCACAAAATGAAAATGCTCATAAACATTAAAATAAATGTAACACACAAAAGGTTTTGGCATTTTCACTTGTATTTAAGTCGAATGCATGGCTTACAGCGATCAGTCGATTGGTTAGCGGCGGGCTTCTGTATTGCTTGTTGTTGTTATTGCACTTTTTTTGCTTCTTTAACGATTTTCTTCTGGATTTTAATACACTTTTTTATTTTATTTTATTATTATTTTCTTTTTGTTTTATATTTTTTTGCTTCGCCTTATTATGAGCTCGCTCTGTTAGCCAAAAGCTGCTGACGAATTTATGGTTAATTTTTAGTGGAAAAGAAATTAGAGATCGTTAAGAATTCAGGCGTACTAAAACCAATTTATTTATTTTTGTATTAAGTTTGCCGTTGGTTCGGTTTGTTCTTTTTGCTGCTGTTACGTCCGCTGGTGTTATGGCTATTATGGTTGACATTGTTACTATTGAGTGTTCTTGTTGTTATTTTCGATGATCGTACAATAAGACATTGTTGTTGGAGTCGGTTTCTTTCTTTCAGCCGTTGCAATATTGTAGCTTTTATACATTTCTTAAATACCATTTTTAGTTTATTTATTGTTATTGTTGTATTCTCTTCGCTTTTATTTAAAGACATTGTACATGTATGTATGCATGTGTGTGTGTTATATGATATGCGCTGGCTAGCAAACTTGTTATTTATGTCGTTAACGAGCAAGTCATAAAATATTTTGTTATATTTCTGCCTTTTGTTTCGCCTTCAAAGCGTCAATAATATACAACAAAACTCCTTCTTCTTTCTTCGAGCAGCACATTAAAGCCAACAAAAAAGTGCCGAAATGTTTTAATTTTCGAAATGTCGATTTTTATTAGATTGAAATACAATAAAATGCGTGTTATGCAAAGAACATTTCCATTTTTTAAGTCGAGCAATGCTAATAAAATATACATATACATATATACTAATAAATACATTTTGTATGCATACATATGTATGCGATAGTATAAGCTTGAATGTTTATGTTTGTCGTTAGTTAACTGTTTATTTAACATTTTTGTTTCTCTTATGCTCTTAGTTGATGGATTTCTTTGGGGTTTCTTATTGATTTCTTCTAAAAACCTGAAAAATGTATACTAATGTACATATATTTGTGCAGTTAAATGGACAAATGTGGGATTTTTGGTTAGGCAAATTACTTTTATGGATTTTTATTAATTTGAATTTTATGATACCACGATACAAACGAGATTGGTTTTTACTGATAATAAACGCCAAAACTAGTAAGGTGACAATATCTATTTCTAGAAGAATTTCTTATAAAATTTAAAGCAGTAAAAATCACAAATTAAAGAAAAAATTAAATAAATATGTAAAATATAAATTTCCAAATTTTAAAATATTTGAAATAAAATAATAGATATAAAAACAAATTACTATAAAATTTATTCCAATTAATTCAAGAACTTAAAATACAATAAAAAATTAAAATAAAATAAAAGAAGTAAAATCAATAAATAAGTGAAAAAATAAAACCAAATTGAAAAAATAAAATAAAATAAAATAAAATAAAATAAAATAAAATAAAATAAAATAAAATAAAATAAAATAAAATAAAATAAAATAAAATAAAACAATGGAAAATAAATTAAAATAATATAATATTATTAACTTTAATAAAACAAAAATAAATAAAATAAAACTTAAATAAAATGCAATAAAATAAAATAAAATAAAATAAAATAAAATAAAATAAAATAAAATAAAATAAAATAAAATAAAATAAAATAAAATAAAATAAAATAAAATGCATTAACAAAACAATGGAAAATAAATTAAAATAATATAATATTATTAACTTTAATAAAACAAAAATAAATAAAATAAAACTTAAATAAAATGCAATTAAATAAATTGAAATTAAATTACAGTAAATTAATTAAATATATATAAATATAATAAAATAAAAAAAAATAAAAGTAAAACAAAATACATAAACCATAAAATAAAATACATTTAATTAATAAAGGAAAAAATGAAATGAAATAAGAAAAAAAATTAAAACAAAGTAAAAAAATGAGTAAATGAATTTAAACCAAAACAAAATAAAACCAAAAACAAAAAATTAATTAAATTAGATAAAATTAAATAGATTAAAATAAAAAGAAACCTAATTGAAAAATAAAAAAAAATGAAATAAAACGAAATAAAACTATAAATTACAGTACTTAAAATTTGGGTTTGAAAAAAGGGCGCTTCAAAATATTTCAGAAAGCCAAATTTGAATATTTTCAGGGATATTGATTTATTATACTTCAGATAAGACTAAAAGTGCATCTATTGTACGTATAGTCGATTTAAGCCATTTTTAGAAGCTTTTAATAGCTCAACAAAATGGCTAGGCATTATTTTAATTAAGAGTTTAATCATTGGATCGTGAAAATCTGAGCGCAATGCACCATTTTAGTTATAGATTTTTTATATAACAGCAACAGAGGCCCCACTGAAGGGTAATTCGTGAGAATGCAGGGTTAGAGTTCGGTTGTTTTTCTTCGCCGCATCTCAACTTTCTGAGAGTATTATATAACCAACATGGAACACTGTTTATACAACATATTTTCTGAAAAGCTTAGTTAATGTTTCAGGTTATCTAATAAAGTAGTTTCGATGTGGTGATTACACAAAGACGTTGAGGTTATATTGAATACGCTTTTATTTTTTTAAGGATATCTCATATATTGGTGAATTTTTTTCTTTTTACACACGCAAGCAATTATTTCATTTCTTGTTTAATTTTACCTAAAATTAACTACATGAGTTCATTTAATCCAAAAAATTGGTCAATATTACTGAAAATATAAAAGATTTCTAGAAATTGCGTCTTTTATTTGACCACATGCCATTATCTGAGAAGAAAGATATCCAAAAAATGCCTCGAAGGTATAAAGAAAAACGTTCAAACAATTATATTGGTTTTGTCCTCTACTCCGTAGGAGGCGAATATTCACATTAAACACCGTTTAGGCGACACACATAAAAGATGCCACAAATGTCAAAGCAGAGCTATTGTCACATGCCAACGCCGTTGGGCAGTAACCAAGTCGAGCTATGACGGTGGCTTGCAGAGTCGACAAAAAAATATACATTTATATGTATGAATTGCATTTGAATTGTATGTTTGTTGTTGTTATGGCTATGTTCAAATAACAGTTGACAGTTCAAACAAATGTTTATGCGGTAGCGTTGGCGTTACATGGCTTGTTGCATGCCACAAAAGGTCGGCACACAAAGACGATACGAACGAGAAAGACTGGTAAAAAATACAATATATTGCTCCTCAGCCACATCCACTATTACCTCGTTTTCCAACCAACAAGCCAGACTAGAGGCATGTCTACAAAGCGCATGAAATATTACTAAGCACAGATAGAGAGGTCAAGGAGCGTTACTTAGCTCTAGCAAACGGCACTAGGGAATCGTCTAAGGAGTTGGACGACCACCCTCGGCGTTGTAATGAAAGCATATTGCAGAAAATTGCAAAACATATTGTTGAGCCACAAGCTATTGTTGTCAGTAGCGACGACATTTATACTGCTGTTGTAGTTGTTGTGGTGCAACAGGGTAAAGACAAATTTGTCGTAGACGGCGCATATTAAAATATGACGTCAAATGTACAACGACAGCAAAAAAAAAAACTGCTCACAATTTCACTCAATGCCAGCAATAACAATTTTTTAAGCTCAACTTACTGTGTGCGCCGGAGAATTTAGGTTCAAAGACTCATATTTTTGTATGCATATATACGAATAGAAATAGTAGTTTATAAAAGCCAGTACTTACCGGATTCGCATAGAACGGCGGCTGATCAGCCGCCATGCCCGATAGATACGCAGACATGCCTTCTGGATAGACGCCTATCGGCACACCACCCGGTCCTGTGACAAGTCCACCTGCGGCCGCCAAACGCTGATAGCTAAGTATATCATATTGACACGAGCAGAGTGTTTGCCCACTAACGGGATCCGTATAGATTGTGCGTCCAGTATCACAGCATCGATTTGAGCCCGGCGTACCCGGCGGTGGTGGCACCCCGCCCGCACCGGCCGGACCACCCGCTAAACCTGGTGGCAGACCCGGCGGTGGTCCACTGCCTGGTGGACCTATCACCGAAACCGTTACACCACTACCCGGACCACTCGCACTGAGACTAGCGCCACCCGGTATACTACTGCTGCCGTAGGGTGTGGCTGCTGCTGAACATGGTGAAATAGAACGTGCGCCCGGCGGCACTGTCGATGTTACTGCCATCGGATTTGTGTTGGCGCTGTTGCTGTTGTGTAGATGAGCAGCAGCTGCGGCGGCGGCAGCGGCGGCTGATGTGATAGTTAGCGGCGTTGCTGCTGATATGGACGTGCTGCCCTTAGACAGTGGCAGAACGTTGTTGTTGTTGTTGTTGTGAGATATACTTGTTGTAGTGGGTGGCGGCACAGCGCCAGCTGCAGCTGCAGCAGCAGCAGCGGCGGCGGCGGCAGCAGCAACAGCAGACGCAACCGAAGCGGTTAAAGTAGGTTGCGGCGCGTTGGCAGCAGCAGCAACGATGTGCGTTGGTGCGTTCGTACTGAGGTTTGTGGGGTGTTGTTGGATCGGCGCGACGGGCTGTGCGGTAGCGGCTGTGGGCGATGCAGTCGGTCGAGTTGAAACGGCGTTCTAAAAAGAGTATAAAAGAAAACAAAATAAATAAATAAGGAATCATTTCTAGCTAAGGAAGTAAAAATAAGAACTTTAAAGGTAGGACTTTGGTAGCGCAGTAGAGCTTCACGTTTGCCACCAACTACCAGCCCAAATACAAGTAGTAGTTTATAAATATAAATAGAAAATTTAATTAAAAATGCGTGTACATTGTTATCAGTGATAGGCAATGCACGAGACGTAAACGCGCTGATAAGCGACTTCGATCGTCGTCAACAATTACTTTTTTCCCTTACCATTTTTCTTTTCGCTGGTGCAGTTATTTGTTAAGTAAGTTGTCGCACTCACAACAACAATTCAAGCGTAAGTACACAAATAAGTAACTCAAAGTACTGTAGTATATTTAAACAAATAAATATATATATGTACATATGTATCGACAAATATGTGCTCAAGAGTTGATGGGCCTTCAAAGGTTTGGCCGCTTGCCGAAGAATCATGTAATAGATTGACAACACTGATTTAAATTACACGTAGCGAATGAGTAGGGCTAAAAATCGAACAACGATCGTGACGCCAAAGGAGTGAAGTATCGATGCCAAAGTGCAACAATACTGCCATGAACCGGCTTCAACTGAGTATGTGCTGCAATTACTAGTACCGAGGGGTTTGCTGGTAAAGAAGGGCCTCTTAAAACCGCTGACCATATGCTTATCTTAAAATAGATCGCAAAGGTGAAACACCAATGAATGCATTTGCTTTGAAATCGGAAACAGAAAATAAATTATGAGTCGTTTCAAATAAGATTCGAATTAAAAATTTGCTACGAACTCGTAAGTGATCGAATAAATAAAACTAAAACAAAGACAATAAAAAGGAAGTTATTACGAATATTAATTCGATAACAATCGATATAAAAATTATATTATTAAATTTCATTTCAAGCCGTTGTATTTAATTTAAATTTGTTTTATTTTATCTACTTAATCTTATCATATCTTATACCTTTTTTATTTTATTTTATTTTATTTTATTTTATTTTATTTTATTTTATTTTATTTTATTTTATTTTATTTTATTTTATTTTATTTTATTTTATTTATCTCTACACTTGAGATTTTATTTCATTTAGTTTGATTGAGTGTTATTTTACTGTATTTCATTTCGCTTAACTTAATTTTATTTAATTTTATGTTAAAATTTGTATTTCATTTCATTTTATTTTATTTTATTTGTTTTTATTTTAATTTATTTTATTTGATTTTATTTTAATTTATTTTGTTTTATTTTATATTATTTTAATCTCGTTTATCTTCATGCTTGCTTTTTTATTCTGTTTTATTTTATTTTTCCTAATTTTATTTTTTACTTCATTTTAATTTTTTCATTTATCTCTATACTTGTGATTTTCTCTTTTTATTTAATTTCATTTAATTTAATTTTATGTTATTTTGTTTTTTACTTTGTTGAATTTAATTGAATTTAATTTTATATAATTTTAATTTATTTTAGTTATTTTGCGTTATTTTATTTCATTTCATGTCATTTTACTTTCTTATTTTATTTGATTTGATTTTATTTTATTTAGTTTTAGGTTATTATATTTTTTTTTGTTTTTTATTTTATTTCTTTATATATTTATTATTTAATTTAGTTTTTATTTATCTTTATTCTAGTGACTTTTTTTGTTTTATTTTAATTTATTTCCATTCATTTCGTTTCATTTCATTATTTTTTTATTTTATTGTGTTTCTTTACTTGTGACTTGGCTTGTAGATCTCAGACTTAATTTTGGTTATAAAAATTCAAGAAGTTAAATGGATATTTAATTATCTATGATAATTTACTATCAACAGCGCCTTAAATCAGGCCTCCAAAAAATAATGTTCCTCATATATACATATGTACATACATATATATATGCATATGTAAAAAATATATTCTAGCTAATGTAAATTTCTTATTTCTTACTTTCTTACTGCTTATGTGGCAAGGGCATTTATTGACACAAAAGTTGATGTTGTAGTTTGAAGTTGAGTTGTTTCAAGTGACAACTGAAAGTGTTTGATTTGTTATTATTTGTAATATTACAGCTCATGTTTTCAACGGTATTATTGTTTGTTTTGTGCTATTTATTTAATAAATATTATCGATACAAATGTGGTTACAAGCAAATGTGGCTACATAACCACATATATGTATAAATACATAAGTATGTACCTACAAACACGTATGTACATATATTTTTTGTGTATTTTCCATTTGAATATAATGTAAAAAGCGATATTTTCTGTACACTAACAACAACAAACATTTATAATTGACACAACAATATCAAAAAAAAAAAAACAAAAAAGCACAAACAATATAAACTAATAATAATAACAAAAAAAAAAAAAAAATATTTGAAAGGAAAATAAATAAATCAAAACTAAATACTCGTGCAACCAACTTCAACAATCATGGCCGATAATCAGTTTGATTGAGCACGCTTTGAATCTGCCGCTCCCGTTCTATTTGTTTGATATGTTATCGGCGCGTTACTTTTGCCGCTTACGATGATATCGGTGTAATCTCTACATGCGCTGCTGCTTAATCAACTTATAGTGCAGTGCAACAAGTTTACTTTACTTCGTGGTTTTTGTATAAATATGTATATGTTGTTGTACAATAACCCTATGTCAACCATTTTAAACTCCGTCCATACTTTAATGAGCGTTGGTATTATTTGCTCAATATACATATATATCTATATAAGCATGTTATGCTGCCGCAATTGTTCAATATTATTAATTTTTAATCGCATATGACCACTTGAATATGTCACTTATTTAATAGCACTACTTTATTTCGTCGCCAAATAACTTCTGAGGCAGAAGTATCTGTCGTAAAAGTTTGATGCCCTTTGGGTTAGGCATTTATTTCTCTGATATCAATGCAATGCTGGTCTGAAAATGAGTTGGAGTTACCAGCGGTTGATGGAGATGTATGTTAATGGGATGGAGTGGAAACTAAGCAAAATTGCATTTAAAGAAAAAAACAACAATTTATTTAAAATTTTTAACAACTCTTTAGGTAAATAGTTACCAAAATTCCTTATTTTTGTATAAAGTTTACTGTGAAAGCTTTGAAAAATAGTCCGGTAAATAATTATATTTTCTTTAACTTGTTTTAAGATTATACACAGTTATTGATTTGATTTTTTAAAATAGTTTCTTCTACAAGACTATTTTAAAACATGTTTTTTAATGCTTAAAATTTTTTATTATTTAATTTTTTATTTGTTATTGATAAACTATTCCGCTATTGCCTAAAATTTAAGTTTAAAATTTGTTGTGCATAAAAATACTGGAAAATCTATTTTTAATGATTTCCATTGTAAATAGACTTGACTTTTTATTATTTTGAAGAAGCAAATATTTAAATAACACAATTATTCTCTTATAAAAATGTTGTAAAACTTAATTTGAAAGCATTTTAAATTAATTTAATTTTTTGATGAATATTTGAGTAAACATTTCCGGTATTAATAGAACTTGATATGACAAAAATATTTCAAAACTAAATTTCAATGTTTAAATTTTTGTATTATTTTTTTAATTTTCCGTTATTAAATCAAAAGTTACAATTGTTCTTGTAAAAAATTATTTCAAAACTAATTTTTTATAGTTTTTAATATTTATGTAATTTTTTTTAATATTGTAATTTAAAAATATTATTTTTTCCCCTTGAACTTTTCCGTTATTGTTAAGTTTTCAATATAAATAAAAATTGAAATACTTGAAAATTTATTTTGGAATACTGTTTAAATTATTTTAATTTTTTATGAATGTTATAAATAAACATTTCCGGTATTAATAAAATTTAAAATAAAATATTGAATTGTTCTGGTACAAAAATAATTTTAAAACGAATTTTTAATGTACGAAAATTTTATCTAAGTTTTTATTTTAATATGTGTAAATCGATAGTGGCAAAAATTATAATAAAACAAATAGTCATTTGAAAGTAACTAATACATAGTAACAAAAAAGTAGTCAAAATGTTTTAAAACCTTTATTAATTTGGTATACAGAATTTTGAATTTGAATTTTTTATTAATTTTGGTAAAAAGAACTAATTTATTAAACATATTGTGCGTCAAATGTCAATATATACGAGCATTAAATTTTATACACATATTTATTTATTTATATATTTATATATATTACTATTTATACATGCACTGGAAGAAGTTATCGGCACTGCCTGAATGGAAAACTGTAAAAAATCAGTATCTTTCTTTTGTCTTTGCTTAAAGAAATTATCCACCATATAATTTGATTTATATTTCATTAAAAGAACTCAGAAAAACTGTTATATTTGTCTTAAACGCTTTAATATTGAATTTTTAATTTAGCTCTTAGTTAAACGAATTTAAATAAATCATAAAAGCGAAATAAATATACATTTAAAATAGGCTGATAAAATATTCTTTAAATTATACCATTAAAACCGCAATAATTTTTCCTTGAACTTATTGATTTAATAAATTTGGAGTTATTAATTAAAGTAGTAAATTTTTGTTTAAAAGTAATTTTCATAAAAAAAAATGCAAGCGAGTTTTGAATACAAAATTTTACGATTTCATTAGAAATAAATATTACACAGTTAACTTTTATTTTAAGATTTAAAATAATTCTTATGCAAACCAAGCAGCGCTTGTAAGCTTTATTATAATTTTTTTTAACTAGAATTGAGGTTATAAAAATCTATATGCTGCTCATAACTTAATTTTAAAAAATGCTTTCTTTTATTTTCAGCGTAATAAACAATGCACATAAATACAACTGAGTGAGATAAATGTATATTTAACGGTTAAAGCACGCGCTTGCTCATCAGTTAATATGCCACAGAGATAAGCAAAAGTTGCCAGAAGAACAAATGTTTTCTAGAATTTTAGCGCATTTTTTGATGATAATTTTTTTTAAATATTTTTATTTATTTTTTTCAAACTGAGTTCAGTTTACCATTCTGCG